TTCTTTCCTCCTTCCTTACCTTTTCCTCTTCCCCCTCTCTAAATTTCTTTTGTCTTTATATCACCTTCATTTCTTAATATTTCTCATCCCTACTCCTCTCCCAAGAAGCCACCCCTTATAACAAAGAATGAAAATGAAAGGACAATAACAAAGTTGTTCAACAAAAATCAATTACATCTGATGGTATAATGTATGTTCCCATCTTCTAATTCTCTGTCTCTGTAAAGGAAGAAGTGATGTGCATTTTCCCATCTCTTCTTGAGTTCAAAACTATGTCATTATAATTAGAAATCTAAGTCTTTATTTTATAACAAAACAAATTTATCCCCAATCAATGATCCAGAATAATACCATGGAATAATGACTCAGTACTACTACCTTTCTGTGAATTTTGCCATCTTTCGTGCTTTAATTCATTTTATAAAACAGGGCCGAGAAAGACCAAGACAGTATTCACCACATACTACTTGGAGTCTATTAGAACTTATGCTCCTTCAGGACAAGGGATGTTTTCTAATTTGTTTTTTTTTATTATTAATAAATAATTTATTTTTAGTTTTCAACATTTACTTCCATAAGATTTTGAGTTCCAAATTTTCACCCCATCTCACCCCTCTCCCCACTCCAAGATGGCGTGCATTCTGAATACCCCTTCTCCTAGTCTGCCTTTCCTTCTATCTCTCCACCCCTTCTCTTAATCCCTTCCCCTTCTGTTTTCCTGTAGGGCAGGATAGATTTCTGTACTCTATTTCCTGTATTTCTTATTTCCCAATTGCATGTGAAAACCTTTTTTTAAACATGTGTTTTTAAAACTTTGGGTTCCAAATTTTCTCCCTTCCTCCCTCCCCACCCACCCTCAGTGAAAAGGCAAGCAACTCAATATGTGTTATACATGTGAAGTTATGCAAAACACTTCCATAGTAGACATGCTGTGAAAAAGTAACTCTATTTCCCTTAATCCTATCCTGCCCCTCCATTTATTCTATTCTTTCTTTTGACCCTGTCCCTCTTCAGAAGTATTTGCTTTCCCCTTTCCCAATCTGTCCTCCTCTCTATCATCCCCCTACTCTCTTGTTCCCTCCCCCCCCCATTTTCCTGTAGGGTAAGACAGATTTCCATACCCAATTGAGTGAGTATGTTATTCCCTCCTTAAGTCAAATCCTATGAGAATAAGATTCACTCATTCCTTCTCACCTTCCCCATTTCCCCTCTGCTGTAAAAGTCTTGTCTTTTCTGTTTTTTTGTGTGAGATGGTTTACCCCATTCTATCTCTCCCTTTCTCCTTTTCCTAGTATAATACTCTCACCCCTTAATTTTATCCTCCAGCTATGACCTTTTCATCTTCAACTCACCCTGTGCCCTCTATCTATCTATCTATCTATCTATCTATCTATCTATCTATCTATCT